TTTCAATATCACTTTAAAAAGAAGCAGTATATTGACTCTGGTCTTCTTATAAATAAATGGTTATTTTTAAAACTTTATTTTTAAAACTTTTTATTGTACAAATAATTAGAATCTATTATCTAATTACTCTTTTAGGATAATTTCTGTTTTTATATTTTCACACTTTCAAACTTTTGATTATTTCTCCTGGAAAAATTATTTGTGGGCATTTAATATCATCTGTGTACCTAAACATCACCATTTCATTATTACTACAGAATATCTTTCATGGCTTTACATGTAAATATAAATTACTTCCTGAGTGATACCAGAGTTGTAGAAGCAGATAGAGGAATCAGAAACTTTCTTTGGAATTGGGTTTTGTTCCTGTAAGGTGAAATTTAGTTTTTGTTTCCCGAGATTAGCAGAGAAGTTCTGGGGGCTCATGTCACTACAGGTAGTAATGCCATTTGTTTTAATTTCTGTTTTAAACCAATAAAGTAATTTTAATGAGTTTTATTTGGGTCTTTCAAGCTTACACTGGTTAGTGAAGTTCACTGTGCCCATGACCCTCCCATCCCATAGTTACTCCCAACTGAACAGTGCTAGCTGCTGAATTGGCTTTGATTCTTTTTGTTTTGGCAGAACCAGGGATTGAACTCAAGCCCTTGTGCTTGCCAGGCAAGCTCTTATTCTACTGAGTCATCTCCCCAGCCACAGGCTTTGATTCTTTACACAGCTTTTGTTTCTTTTGTACTTCTGTCATTGAAAGACAGGAAACAGCTTGTAGTGTTGAAGTGTACACCTGTATTTCCAGCACTTAGGGCTGAGGAGGAGGATCTCTGTGAGGTTAATGCTAGCCTGAGCTGCCTAGTGAGTTCAAGGCCAGGAATATATCATAAGACTGTTTCAAAAAAAAAAAAAAAAGAGAAAACAGTATTGATAGAATATAACAAATATGTCATGTAAAGTGAGAATAGTCCAGCAAGGTGATCTTCACTCGCACTATTAGTATATAAGCTGAACAAAATTTTTGAGCCCCACTAAATTTTGCTTTTGTGTACTTAAAAAAATAGACTTTGCCAGGATTAGCAGCAGACTTCTTGGCATTTCCCTCTTTCTACATTTACTTTTACATTTTAAATGTGCCTTATTAAAATTATTTTTGGTTATAAATTTTTTTTTTCTCAGCTGACTGATTCTTTTTTTTTTTTTTTTTTTTTTGAACTGGGGATTGAACTCAGGCCCCTGGGCTTGCCAGGCAAGCACTTATTCTACTGAGCCATCTCCCCGGCCCCAGCTGACTGATTCTTGATTGAAGTTTCCAAAATAGTGAGTTTATAGAAGTGGGCATATGATTATTAACGTGGAAAGAGACACTTCAGTCATTTAAAAGACAGATGACTGAGAAACCAAAGAATCCTATGAAGATCAGGTGGCATTTGTGTCTATTAGTGAGAGGTACAGTGCAGCCACTGTGCCTAGACTGTACTGATGTCACATAGTATTCTTTACTATTCCTATTCAGTAATGCTTTCATGAAGTAGGAGGTAAAGAGTAAGGTAAAAAGTACAACTTTGGAAGTTTCCAGACTGAATGGAAAGGTTTTTAAGTGTGTGCATATGCTTGGAGCAGGAAGGTTTATGTGTTAAGAATTTTAGTCTCCGTGTGTTGCTAAGCTAGAATTAGCAGAAACATGTGAATACCTTATCTCAGGCCTTCACTGCTCGTATCCCAGTATTTTCCTCCACTGCTATACTCAATTAAAACCAAAGCATTTATTGACACTTTATACAGCCATTTTCTGTAACATATGAATTGAATCATGAAAATCTGCAAGTTTTATTCTTGCAATCTAGAATAATAGTAACTTTCAGGAGTTAGCATATTTTAAATTAAGAGCTTTCAGTCAGCTGGGCAGAAATCAGGTGATGAGCCTGAAGGCTAAGAAAAGGATTTCCCAATACTCATTCCAGACATTAGCAGTAACCTGATTTTCTTTTTTTTTTTTTTTTTTTTTTGCGGAACCGGGGATTGAACTCAGGCCCTTGCGCTTGCCAGGGAAGCACTTATTCCACTGAGCCATCTCCCCGG